GTGGCAGCTGGTACATCTTTCTGTGTCAAGAGAAAACCCTGCCTTTGCCCTCCCCAGGTCCAGTTTGCTCTTAGAAAGTTTTCCTACCTTTATTTAGCGCTCTACAGGGGAGACTGTTGATCTCAAAGATACATCTTTTGCATGGCCCATGTGCCATCTGATATTTTTTCCTTTTAGGCTGCCAACAAAAACAAAAAAACTGCTGGTGCTCTGTAGCTTTGATTATATATAATTTTTCTAATATTTTCGTTAAAAAATTTTAAATTTATTTTGAGAGCGCACGCGCACACACACACACACACACACACACACACACACGTGGGGAAGGGGCAGAGAGAGAGGCCCAAGCAGCCTCCATGAAGTCGGTGCACAGAGCCCGACATGGGGCTGGAACCCATGAAACCATCAGATCATGACTTGAGCCAAAGTCAGATGCTCAACCAACTGAGCCACCCAGGTGCCCCAGTTATTTTTCTTTTTAATTTTGGCCTTTCATTCCTTTGGAGTGCCTTATTATGGGTAGTATGAATTGGGAATCTAACATTTTTTTTTTTTTTCCCCAAAAGAATATCCAGTTGTCCCAATACCATTTAATGCCAGAGGACTCTTCTCACTTGATTTGAAATGCCACCTCTATCGTGTTACATCCTTACATTTGTGTGGGTTTCTTTCTATTGCATCTCTAGCTTCTTTCCCTTGAGAGGACAGCGAGAGGGAGGGTGAGGAGGAGGCCATGAGGAGGAAGCCATCCCCAGTGAAATAGGCAGGGGCGATCCCAAGGTCTGCAGAAAGGCCCCTCATCGTTGGTCTGCCTGGTACAGAAAAAACAGACCAGGAAACCCCCAGAAGCACCACTGTATTTGTCTCCTCTGTCCCACCTTCCCACAAACAAACACAACAGGTGTGGAGCTTATTAGCCAGGCCTATTGCATCACGTCCCCCAGGAGCTGTTCCTTTACCAGCACCAATCTGTGGCTGGCTGATGAAGTAAGCCAACCCCTCCAGTAGCTTGGCTCTCATCCTGCTAGTAGCTTCCAGAGCTCTGGAGATGATGAGGTCTCATTTTCTTCACTCGAATTCTCTAGTGAGTTTTCAAAACTCATTCAGCCAGCTTGTCTTCACACTGTCCTTCCACTAAGACTCCCTTTTCTGGCTGGCTATCCTTCTTAGCCCAGAGAACCCAGATTTCTGCCTGTAGATGGTACCTTAGTGCTATATAAGCCACCCTGCCTCACATACTGCTTTTCTTTGAAATCAAATAAAAAAGTATCAGGAGAAAGAATTGTTCTAGACTGTGGGCCAGAAGTGAGAGCTTTCTTTGGTAGCCATTAACAACTTGCTCCTTTTTTTTCCTCCTCCCAATGAAATGAAGCTCTTCTGTATATGTAGATCGTTGTTGACACTGTGAAGATTTAGGCTCGTTGACAAAGACCCGGTGGCCTTGTACTACACTTGAGTGTAGTCTTCTTCCCAGAATGTGGTTTTGGGTCCTTTGGGGGGGTACATATTGAAGGGTGTTTTGCAACGTTCTCTATCCATCCAAGGAATATCTAGCCATTGATAGACCTTCTCCTCCCTGTGTTAGAAGGCAAGTTAGCTGAAGTTAAGGGACACAAGTCTGGGAATGGAGAATATATTCGTGGAAGAATATTATCTTCTAGGAGGGAGGATGAGACACAGGTTTTGAGAAACTTTGATCTACCAAGGTGATACCCGGTGTCGACAGGAAGGTGTTAGAACTACAGAGCTACATAAGGCTTCCTGCCTTCCTGCTCTAGGTTTATTCTCTTAAACTATCCAATATGGTAGCCGCTAGCCACACATGGCTATTTTTTTTTTTAAAGTTTATTTTTGGGAGAGAGATAAGCACGAGTGGGGGAGGGGCAGAGAGAAGGAGAGCGAAAATCCCGAGCAAGCTCCCCACCATCGACACAGAGCTCAGCGCGGGGCTTGAACTCGTGCACTGTGAGATCATGACCTGAGCCGAGACCAAGAGTCGGCCGCTTAACCGACCCAGGCGCCCCATGTGGCTCTTTATACTACACTCGATTAAAGTGAAATGAAACGAAAACGTTCAGCTTCTCATTTGCACTATAGCCGCATTTCCAGTGCTCAGTAGCCACACGTGCTATGAGCAGCATGGCCATTTCCATCGTCGCACCAGGTTCAGTTGGACTGTGCTGCTCTAGACACCCACTGTGAGGAGGTGCCTGCAACTACTCGAGGCTAACCTGTCCTCCCTGTCTCCTGGCAGCTGACCAAGAATGGGACGGTGGAGTCGGTGGAGGCCGACGGCCTGACCCTGGATGATGTTTCAGATGAAGATATTGACGTGGAAAACGTGGAGGTGGATGATTACTTCTTCCTGCAGCCCCTGCCCACCAAGCGGCGCCGAGCCTTGCTGAGGGCTTCGGGGGTCCACCGCATCGATGCCGAAGAGAAACAGGAGCTTAGAGCCATCCGCCTGTCACGGGAAGAGTGTGGTTGCGACTGTCGCCTGTACTGTGACCCAGAAGCCTGTGCCTGTAGTCAGGCTGGGATTAAATGCCAGGTGAGTCCAAGTCGGCCTGAGAGAGCATATCTACTCTAGAGTCTGGGGGACGTGATGCGGGTACCCATGAACACGGGAGGCCGCCCGTCACCCGTGGGTGGATTCCCCGTGAGTGTGGACACTCCATAGCTCCATAGCCCTCCTCCACCAAGGAGAAAACCAAGCACGGCAGGATTCCTAGGCTATGGAGACAGCAGTTACCTTTTCTGTGTTTCTCACCTCAGAGGTGATGAAGAGGCAGCTGTCCGCAAATGGGGGAACAGGGAACAGGGGTTAGTAAGTTTACCATTAGTAGCTATTCCTTAAATATTGATTTCGTGAGATAAAAGGAAGCAGAGAGCTGAGTTAGGCCTTTAGATTTTATCTTCACTCACAGGACCTCTATCCCAATTTTGTAAAACTCAAAGTAATTCTCGGATCCTATAATTTAGGATCAAACTTGGCCTGGCAGAGGTTAAGTCCAGGATCTTAAGTTCAGGATCTTTTTTTATAGTATTTTTTTTTTAGTTTCTAAAATTAAAAAAAAAAATTATTTATTTTGAGAGAGAGAACAAGTGAGATAGGGGCAGAGAGAGAGGGGGACAGGATCCAAAGCAGGCTCTGTGCTGACAGCCAAGAGTCCCACGTGGGGTTTGAACTCCAGAACTATGAGATCATGAAGTCAGACGCTTAACCAACTGAGCCACCCAGGCACCCCTTAGGTCCAGGATCTTAAAAGATAGAAGACCTCATTCCCCACCTGGCCTTCTGACAAGGGACAGGTTAGAAGGCCTAGCCCAACTGAAAAGAGTAGTACCATCCCAGAGGATGAAATCTACCTGGAACTTGTAGGATGTGGGTGCTGAGTCCTTCTGGTTGAATGGATCCTAACCAACCTTTTGTTTAATTTTAGGCAGGTAATAGCTCTAGCTGATCTGGCCAAATACTGCTTTTCAGAGTGAAGTCCTATAATATATCATTCTGTTTTACAGTCCTGAGAATAGTCCTAAGAATTGGACTGTTCTTAAGACTGGAATGGAGAGTTCTAGAAGTTGATATCATAGAAAGACATTGTGTGTTTGTACATATTTGCCGATGCCCTTTCCTTCTGGGGGGGGGGGTGCTTTTTTCCTTTTTGGGATCCAATAAGGAGGTAGAGTAGATCCCCTTTCTACATATTCCTGGTCTATAACTGTTTCAGAACTAAACTGGCCAACCATCAGGGAAAAATGAAGCAGGCAGTGAAAAGCTGGTCATTATTTTGTTGGAACTGTCACGATAGCACCTTAGCAAACTAAGACACTTTCACTAGTTTCCCTGGAATGTATCGATTGCTTTGGACCAGCTAGATCTACTTCCTTTCCCATGCCTGTCGTTGCAGAAGGCACTAGGCTTGGGCCCCAGCCTTTGTCTTCTCGACACACCAGGTAAGTTCTGGGAAGGTCTGAGGCACAAAAATTTCTTCCACTCTGAGAACTGTCAGCATTCAGAGAGGTGGTCTCAGGACTTTTTAACTGGAAAGGCCCTTTGACGTGATTTTTGGCTACACTTTATTTGGAAGAGGAAACAAAGCCTTGGAGAGATACAGGACCTCCCCGAGGTCACAACTGCTAACTAATGGCTGTGCTGGAATCAGAACGCGAGTGGTCTGAAAACTACCACCTCATGCTCTTAGGTCACCACGTTGCACGTTTCGCTTTGAATTAGTTGTTCCTCTTGTAAGAAGACCTCAAATCCCAGCTGCCCGTGTTTGCCAGCTGACGTCTCCTATCTCCGTTATTAAATCTGCTGGCCTCATCTTCCCTCAACCTCCTTGTCCCCTCCTCAGGTGGATCGCATGTCCTTTCCGTGCGGTTGTTCCCGGGATGGCTGCGGGAACATGGCGGGGCGCATTGAATTTAATCCGATCCGGGTCCGGACTCATTACCTCCACACCATCATGAAGCTGGAGCTGGAGAGCAAGCGGCAGGTGAGCCGCCCGCCAGCCCCGGACGAGGAGCCCTCACCCGCCGCCGGTTGCAGCCTGACGGGAGCCCAGGGCTCCGAGACACAGGACTTCCAGGAGTTCATTGCTGAGAACGAGACGGCGGTCATGCACCTGCAGAGTGCAGAGGAACTGGAGCGGCTCAAGGCAGAGGAAGACTCCAGCGGCTCTAGCGCCAGCCTGGACTCCAGCATCGAGAGCCTGGGCGTGTGCATCCTGGAGGAGCCGCTGGCCGTGCCCGAAGAGCTGTGCCCGGGCCTCACAGCCCCCATCCTCATCCAGGCTCAGCTGCCCCCGGGCTCCTCCGTCTTGTGTTTCGCCGAGAACTCAGACCACCCGGCCGCCTCGGCAGTGAACAGCCCGTCCTACTTGAACGGTGGGCCCCTGGTCTACTATCAGGTGGAGCAGAGGCCAGTCCTGGGGGTGAAAGGAGAGCCTAGCGCGGAAGAAGTCCCGCCTTCTTTCCCCAAGGAGAAGGATCTGAACGTCTTCTCTCTCCCGGTTACCTCACTGGTGGCTTGTAGCCCCACAGACCCAGCTGCCCTGTGTAAGTCAGAAGTGGGGAAAGCGTCCACCCTAGAGGCGCTAGTGCCCGAAGGCTGTAACCCTGACGAGCCTGAGAGCGAAGACTTCCGCCCCTCTTGGTCCCCCTCGAGCCTCCCCTTCCGCACGGACCATGAAGAGGGCCGTGCGGTGGAGAAAACCTCACAGCAGAGTGAGGACAGGCCCCCCGAAGATTCTTCCCTAGAACTCCCTCTGGCAGTGTGAGCCGGGGATGGAGATTCTGCCTCTGACCCATTCTCTATTTATTCCCTTATTTTATCTAACACCGTTTCAAAACAAAACTGTAGAAGCAGCTGCTATGCCCATGTTATTTTATTGGGGTCTTGGGGGGATGGGTGGGAAAGAATCGTTTGTACGAGTATTTTTTAAAGGGTAAACAGAACCAAGGAGACCGGTCCCAGCTGGATGTGGGGAGAGTCTTGGGGCAGAGGAGGCCGCACAGTGCTGAATACTGAGCTTTCTGGGCCGTTGGAACAAAGAACGAGGATCTCACAGGAGAAGCTGGGTAATTCGAGCAGCTATTCTTTATGTAGGGACCAGAACGCAATAATTTGAACAGCGTGGCAAAGCTCCCTTCTCCTTTCCTGAGCTCCAGGTGGGGAAGAAGCTCAAGTTTTCTCATCGGTCACCCTGATACCCCACTTTGGTGCATAACGCAGTTGGAGTACCATCTGGCCAGATCTAGAGAGGAACGGGTAGAAGGGTCTCTGCTTCTGTAGAAAACCTCCAGAATTTAGAAAAACTTAACCTGCCTTCCCTGGCCCCCTGTTTGGTAAATAAGTTAATATTTGACACGTTTGGTGTCCTCCGACCTGTTCCCCACACTGGGGATTCCTGGTCTGTAACTTGAATTCTTTCTTTCACATGTTCTTAGGTACTAGAGTTAAACTTGCCTATTTGTCTCCCCCACCCCCTTTCTTTTTCCCTTGAAGAAAAAGCTAGATTGGCTGGGGATGTGGCCTAAAGAGCCTGAGGCTTGTGCCTGTGTAATGCCGGCTCCGTCAGGCAGCTTCAGGCCGGGGCTCACACGTCCCACAGGAGGCATATATGGAGCATTGCCTGTGTCCCGAAAGAGGCAGCAGGAAAAGGCTGCTGTCTGCAAAGAAGTGGACTTGATCTGTGCCATGCTTGCTTTTTCACCCAGGTTCCCCCCGCCCCGCTCTGGGAGGTTTGAGCTTTAAAGGAATGCAGGACGTGGCAATCTAAAGTCACCAACTAGTTTTTGTCCTTTTCTTTCTGTACTACCCTTGTGGTCCTTGGATATACAGGGTTAAGAGAGTTTTGCTATTCCAGTCCCCCCGCCCTGACAACTGCAAATGTTTATTGGATCCCTCCAACTTGATACATAAAAATTGGAAGCCAAACGAATTCTTAATTGCTACACACAGCTCCCAGGTTCCAAAGAGTTCAAGTTCTGACTGTTACTTTTGAGATCTATAGAGTGGGACTCAAATTCGGGTCTTACCTCCATGGGGGGACACGGTTCCCGTTCTTCTTATGTCCAGCTCATGTTCTAGGATGCGCTCTGCTAAACACCGCTGAATTCTTATTAGTTCTCTTTGCGTCCATTTTAAAATGGAGTCAGTAGGGAGCAAAAAACACTCTCCACTAGCATCCTTTACATCACACCTCACTTCTGGTATGGTTTATTGACCAAGAAAGAACAAGTGGAAAACTGTTTGCTTTTGGTGGGGAGAGAACTCTTCCTACTTACCTTGCTCACAAAGCCTTTTCTTGTGGGACGTGAACGCACTCTTTATGTATGTCACAGCAACATTTCACCTAGAAAATCTCTAAACTGAGCCTGTGAGGCCTTGTACTTAAACGGATATGTCTTTTAACCCAGTCTGCCTCTCCAGTTCATTCCTGGTTTTGCTTGGTTTTACATTTGGAGGGGAGTTCTTCAGTACAAGACCTTGTCCCTCCCCATCCTCTAGCCTCACAAGAGAGTCTTAAGCACCCGCGATGTAGACACTATCCCAAGCCAAGCCACACTCCCCCACGATCGGCCATCCCCTTGAATAGAAGGCTGAAGCTTAAACTGCAAACTTTCTTCCTGAAAGCTTATATTGGGAGGGGAGCGTGGGCTCTAAACATTCCCTCCTTAGGAAGGCTCCAGCCTCACCTTTGGAAGTGGATTCCACCTGCTTGGTAAGAGACACTTTAGCCTTTGGGGTCAAGCCAAGAATTGGAATCTCATTATTAAACTCATTGCCAGCCCCCAAGAGATTTGATTTTTCTGAAAAACTAGTTTCTTAATCCAAGTCCGTCCCTCCAGGAACAACACTTCTGACTCCCGCCGATCCCAAGTTTTTAAATGCTGAAATATTAACACTGAGCATTAACTGTCTTGTTAAGCAAAGGGCCTTTTCTACAACCTAGTCCATCTCGTTTCTGGTGCTACCTGAGCTGGACACAGTTCTCGCTCATGGTTGCTAGAAAAGCTAAGCCTAGGCCTCTGATCACAGGACCGTACGGCTTCAGTCCCACTCAGTCTAGGCCTAGATAAAAGAAATCTCTTATTACTGCAACTCTTAAGATTTTCCAGTTTCCTTTCTCATATACTGTACACAGGTAGTATTTTCAATGTGAATCCAAAGCTTGTCTGGTTCTCTGAAAACAATTTTTTTTTTTTTTTTTTTTTTTTTGCCTTTTAGGTCCTTTACATTGTGATAATGCTGTATTTAAAGAGAATATTTAAATGTAATATTAAAGAAATATTCAAAAGAATGGTGTGTTATTCTTTATCCTGGCAGGCCACAACTTAGTTACTTGTTAGACAAAGGGTGCTTCTCCAGCGTTGTATAGAAAACCAATTAGGTCAGTTAGATATTAATGTTAACAACAGAAATGTTTTACGATGGAAAAACAGAACATTCTCTTTGGAGAGTCAAGAACTTGACGTGCATCGTATGCCCTTATGCACCCAAGCTGGAGCACGCTTGATGCTCCCCTGTTGAAGCTTTTCCCTGTCTATAGTCCGTATCCTGGGGGCTCATCTGCTAATCCCGTTTTCTTTACAATCATATATATGTAATCTTTACAGATTGTGTATCTATAATATATATAAAATTCTCTGTTCCTGGTTATCGCGTTAAAATTGAGCAGAGGATCAGTGTCAAATCCGTTCCCTCAGAACTTCCATCCCATCAGAAGCTTCTATCCCAACCGACTACGTCTCCATTAGTTAGGTTACGTCCGTCTTGTCAAAGGAGTTTTAGCAAAATCATCCGAGTATGCAGAAGTCACTTCCAGCAACTGGTTTCAGGCAGTCTTTACTTGGCTTTAAAACAGTGCTTCATGCATTTAACAATAAGTTATTACACGTCACTAGCGTACAGGGACAAAAGCTAAACCCAACGTACTCTCGATGCAGACCGCTCCCGGGCTCCCAAGCAGGGTGGTCGTTAGTGCCTTGGAGGCTTAATCCAGGGCCCAAAGGCAGCCACTGGCAGTTACAGCCGGACTGCCGCAACTCAGCGGAGGTAGCAGAGTTTAAGATCTGTGGAGGCTGCACCACAGCCCGGAAATTAAGACAAGGGTGAGGGTGAAGGCTATAAACACGGAAAGGGTCAAGTGGCACTTGTATTTCCTTGCATCGTTGCCATCAGAATGTTCCCATATATGAATAACTGTTTGCTTAAAAAAAAAAAAGTGTTTCATGGACTTGGAAAGGGAGTGGTTAACCCAGTGAGGGGACCAAAAATAAAAATAAAAATAAAAAGCCTATTTTTGGTCACAAAAAGGATCGAGGGCAGCATCAAAGGACACGCACAGATGTAAATGCTCCAGTTTCAACAGGGCTGCCCCCCTCCCCAGCCGGAAACTAACAAAAACCCAGCTGTAAAGAATGTGGCAGTGGTTAAGTCCGAGGCTGCTAGGACTTGCCCCACCTGGGGCAAAAGCTCACTTCCTAGGATCTGAACTCAAAACGTCACAAAGCCCAGTACGGAGGCTGCTGCCAGCTCTGGCTGATGGTGAGGAAGTTGGGATGACACTTCTGGTAAGAGGGTCTGTTTCAGTTCCAGCTCCCTCCCTCGAGGGTACCACGCTGGAAAGCCCGCGGGCACCTGCTCCTCTGCCTCCCGCACACCCCCGCCAGGGCACACAGATGCTTTGCCGGCCAGTGTTGTTTGGTACCACGCTGCCATACTGTGTGACTGCAGGATGATGCCACCCGCTCCACGTTCATTCAGCGCCTTGAGCCGGTGTAGTTGATGGAAAGCAGGACCACGTTGTGTAGCAAGAGGGACAGCTCAGCTTCTGAAAACACCATCAATGTTAATGGTTTGGCCAGAGAAC